GTAGGCAAATGTGACGTACGGCAACACCCCATACCATGTCTTGTGCTCCACGTCGATGTACACGGAGATCATGTCGGCGATGGCCTTGTTGAGTCTCTCTTAGCCCGTTGGTCTGCGGGTGGTACGCCGTGGTGCGACGATGGCTTTTGTGGCTGAGGCGAAGGATTCCTTGCGTCAGCTGAGCCATGAACGATGATCGACGGTCTGAGATCAAATCTTCGGGAACGCCGTGCCGGAGGACGATGGACTCGATGAAAAACTTGGCGACTTCAACAGCAGTCCCTGAAGGAGGAGCTTTCGATTCGGCGTACCGCGTGAGATAATCTGTGGCGGCGATTATCCAGCGGTCTCCAGACGCTGACGGCGGAAAAGGGACAAGTAGATCCATTCCGATCGGCCGGAAGGTGCTGTTGGTGGAGGAATTGGCTGCAGGAGACCTGCCGGCTTTGTTGGCGATTTTTACGTCGCTGGCACTCGTGGCATAATCGAGTGTGGAGGTGGATGGTTTTTGGGGACCCGGGTTTGCGTACTGCCCAGAGTAGTTCTGTCATGAAAGCAGCTGCGAATACATGATTGATTTCTGGAAGTGATGCATATCTGTAATGAATAAAGTTTCGTGCATTAATAATTGTAATCACAATTAACAAATTTGGGAGCAATAGTTCTGACTGTAAGTAACCTACATTCGCAAAATAATTTACCCAAGCACAATGGTAATGAAACTTCTCTATTCGTCTCGAGATTCGATCGGCACGCTTTATGTGTTGAAAACCAGAACTACACTTCGTGTCGCACTTACTTGGAGCATTACCAACTTTACGAACACGAGGCCGAAGCCATGGGAGGCGCCAATGCAACGCTCGCGCACTGGAATCAACTAATGCCCCTTTGTCCCGGGAAAAGTTGTGCCATTCATTGTTGTAGAAATGCTCGAGACACGTGCCGCGCGCCACTTCTGGGAAGGACATGGCGTCTGAAATCTAGCTCAGTGCTGCTCTGTGCCGCCATGATCTTCCCAAGGGCTGCACGTTTCAGGAGCCTCTTGCATTGACGCACCTTGCGCTATTTCAAACACGAAGGGGCTTTAGAAGCAACTGCAAAGAGCTCGTGGTCTGTACCCCTATCTGTACTTAGTGCCGTTAGTGTGGACGCTTTGTCTCCACCAGCATTGCGGACAGAAAAGAATCACCCCGTGCCGCATAGTCTCATAGAGAACCATTGAAACAAAAGCACGCTTCCCGTTAATTCACTCTGGGTCTTGAGGCAAATAACGCGGAAGCGTGCCACTTTCTCTGGCGAGCGCTGGACAGCTGGAATTTAAGTCAACTAACCTTGTTACGTGGGGTAGCATGCAACAGTCTCCTCAACGGGTGTCCTGCCCACTCGACGGGGCCCCTTTAATTGCGCCAGATATTAGCCTTTAATCGCAGGCTTGTTAAGCGACGTCTAATAAAGTTAACGGAAATATATTGCAATTTTATTTATTCTTGATGATGACATTGGTAATACGCTTTCATGTTTTATTTCTGCTTTCTACAGACATTTCTGACGTCTGCGAAGATCGTGCGAGCGGTCTGCTGCGTTCATCGGACTCAGACCAAAAAGTGACTTCGTTACTGAGGCACGAAAGGAACACGTTACTGTGAATTAAAAGTAACGCGTTGCTTTCTGGTTAGTATACTTTGATGTCATTCTGAAGTAATGGCTGCGTTCGAGACTTCTGCGTTAATTTTTCTTGACTATGGTGTTAAAAACCACATTTACTGAGAGGCTATATTTGCAAAATTGTGTCAGGTTACGGGGAAGAATCATGGGGGACTAATTCGGCTGAGCGCAGCGGCGAAACCTTTCGTGGGAGGCAGGACGCGTACTTCTCACCCGCGCTTTATTTCTACCGAGTTCAAGGGAAGCAGCATTCCCACCATTGAACCGTGCCTACATCTGGCAGATACCAAATCAAACTCCCAAGAAATATACTCTCATTGACCGGCAGTGACTTATAGAGAAAAAAAGGACTTTCCCAAACATCTACGCGTGCGGCCTTTACTGTGATATTGGCTTTTGGTATTTTTCATTTAACAAATTTTGCAATGTATTAGTAAATTCCAAAGTGAGGGCGCTAGTGATATTAGTAAAGATCTTATTTTAAGTATAATTATTACGAGAAATATCCTCGATATTCGCCAAGGCAGGAAATGTATTCACTTGGCAGCAGCGGCGGTAGCAAACGGCATCATCTAAACGACTTGTAAATTTTCTGCAGATCACGGGAGCATCGCCGGTGCGGGAGCAGTTTTCGCTGCATCGTCACATTCTCAAGCCTGCACGCTCAGGCCTATCGTCCGCGGCCTGATCACCCACAGCGCCACTGCAGACAACGACAGTCCGGCTGATTGGTCCACCAGCGTCGACATCACCAGCGAGAGCCTACAAAAGCACGGGATCTCCTCTTCGGCGTTTTCACTTGGCAGCAGCGGCGGTGGCAAACGGCATCATCTAAACGACTTGTAAATTTTCTGCAGGTTAGTAACTGTACCTCTCTTTTTGACTTGTAATTACTGTTGTTGCTACTGCTGCTGCCTTGCTTGCTTCTAACGGTATTGTCTACGCGTGTTTGCCTTTCTTCGAGTCTTGTCATGGCGAAAGATATGACAAAATTAATGACTGAGCTGAAAGAAGAATTTAAAAAAGAATATAAGATACTGAGAGAAACCTTAGAAAGGGATCTCCGCAATGAACTTCGAGACATTCATACAGAGCTGAAGGGAATAAACGATGGGATGAACTTCATTAATAAGGAATTTAAAGAATTCAAGGAAAAGATTGAGTCTGTTATAGTCGAGAACGCCGCCCTCCGAAGGGCAAACACGGAACTCGGTGAAAGATACAATCAGGTGGCGAAATCATTAAAAGAAAATGAAGAAAGACTTCTCCAGTGTGAACAATATTCGAGGCACCACAACCTTGAGGTGAAGGGAATTCCAAAGACTGAGACGCATCAAGAATCTGATATTTCAAATTGGAAATCTAATTGGAGAGCAAATTACCTTGAACGACAACGAAACTTGCCACCGCGCTCCGACTAGGGAGGTTACGAAAAGTAACGTCATAGTCCAATTTCAAAGGCAGCAAAAATGGGACGCTGTTCTCGATAAGGCAAAGAAAAGAAGGATTACATGCCGGGACCTAGGTCTTCCAGATGCCACGCCTGTTTACGTAAACGAGCATTTATGCCCCACCTTGAAAAGACTACTCGGAATGGCAACGTCACGAAAGCGGGAGATGCAATGGCGATACGTTTGGGTGCGAAATGCCAAGATACTTGCTCGTAAGGCAGACAATGCCCCCGTCGTAACAATTGGCGATGAAAGAGATCTTGATAAGATCTGCTAGCCGAAAGCTATTTTTATGAAAACTTCAATGTCTTGATTTTTCTTCCCCGATATGACTGGAAATCTTGGAATGGTGACTATAGAAGTCCTAAACCGATATTTAAAACAGCGGACTAATAAATCATTAAGCTTATTTCACCTAAATGTGCAATCCGCCAGATTAAAAGGCGAAGACCTCACGTTGCTTTTTTGTCACTAGATACCATTTTTGATGTGGCCATGCTCACCGAAACGTGGTACAGAGATGATGATACTTTTTTTGTTCTACCGGGTTACAGTCATTTTGTCCTTAATCGGGGTTACGGTCGTGGTGGCGGTGTGTCATTGCAGACTAGTGTTTCTGGATTTGAGCTGCTCAGTAATTATTCTATTGTGACGTCGAACTATGAAGCGCTTTGTACAAAAAAAAAAAAACAAAAAAAAACCGTGATATCTACTCAGTTTTATACAGTCCACCTACTGGAAACGTTGCGGCCTTTATTAGCTTTTTAGAAAATGTATTTTATTTTGTCAATGATGAAAGATGTCAGTTGTTTCTCGGTGGTAATTTCAATATAAACATGTTAGAAGACTCTCGCCTCAAAGATGAATTGATTGTTTTACTGACGTCTAATAGTTTTTGTAATGTGATTATACCTCAGACACGAATTACAAGCTCATCATCAACATTGATCGATATTTTTGTGACCAACCATGATGAGAGCAATATCACTGCGGGGGTTCTTAGTTATGGGCTCAGTGATCACCTTCCCATTTTCATGTTTGTTAACCAAGATATCCCACTAAAAAGACTATAAGACCTCCTTTAATATTACAAGACATAAGTTCTGAAACGCATAACAAATTTAGAGAAAATATTATCAGTATTGATTGGAGTCATGTGCTACGGTCTAATGATGTCAACGAATGCTATGACCTTTTCTTAAACGAGTTAAAACGTGCCCACTGCACAGCATTTCCATACAAAACAATTTATGTCAACAAAAAGTCTCGAAAGACCTGGATCAGTAGACAGTTTTTGAAACAAATAAAAAAAAAAAAATTTTCTGTATGATTTCTTTTTTAAAACTCGAGACGAAGTAAAGTTGCATGAATTCAAAAAATTTAGAAACTTCGTAAATACGCAGTTAAAACGTGCAAAACAACGTTATTTTTCAGCCAAATTTGATGAGTCTTCTTTTAGGCAGCCCGAAATTATGTGGAAGCACTGTGTTTTCTCAATACCTTATCATGGATACTTTTTTCTATCGTCTCAGTGACATAAAGGGATGATAAATGCCCGTAATAAAGTTTCACTACCGGTTTCGCCTTGTCAGTAGACTACACGGTGGCTTCGCGGGCTCAGAGCTTCGTTCTGAAAGATTAAGTTAAATTAAGTTGGTGACGAGCGACGGACTTTCATTCGTGCGGTCAACTTCCTGTAGGATTTCGAAAGTGCAGAGTGCATGTATTAACGAGTGTGTCCTCCATATTAGCGAGAGATCACTGTGCCGTACTACTGGTTATCCGTGGGAACTCGTGAAAAAGGTGTTAAAGGGTTCAGCAGAGAGCCTTCCGGCCACTAATCTTTTTTTAAACCCTTTTTTTTCTTTTACAGATACAATGATCATGCGGAATCGCATACTCTATTATCTCAGCTTAAGTGCAGTAATTATTACGGCACTAATCCTACTTTGTGTTAATATTCCGTTCCTACAAAAGAAAGATAGTTCTGAAGATGTTAAAAGTGCTGAGTTGAGCTCCCGCAGTCAGAGAGATAGAAACAAGCAAGACAAGCCGCAAGACAACCGTAAAAGTCAAGAAACTGAGGATTACATTCTTCACCCAGCCAATTTATGCTTGAGAGGAAATTCCCAGCTTCAGCTTGACTACTTAGTTTTGATCTTCTCTGCTCCCAATGACTTTGACCAGAGGAACGCCATTCGGGAAACTTGGGCTTCTGAGCTGAAGGAACGGTCGAACAGCCGTGTGGCGTTCCTCCTAGCGAGGACCAAAGATGATAGGGTGCAGCGCGCCATTGAGAGTGAGTCGTACCTGCATGCCGACATCGTCCAGGGGACACACATCGACCACTACAAAAATCAAACTCTCAAGATGAAGATGATGATGAAGTGGGCCCTGCAATACTGTCCCAATATATCTTTCCTCTTCAAGTGCGACGATGATACGTTCGTAAACGTTGGAAACCTTCTGAACGCAATGAAGGACAAGCGTACCGATGCGATCTATGGTGATTTATATATAAATGAGAGGCCTCATAGAGATCCGTCCTCGAAGTATTACGTGTCGGAGAAGGATTACAACGGAATCACATTTCCGCCCTTTGTAACTGGAACCCTGTACATGCTGGGCGGAAGCATCCTCCGCCGTCTCTACGAAGCTTCGGAAGTGGCGACGTTCGTCTGGTTAGAAGATGTGTTTCTCACCGGATTTGTCGCCCAAAAAGCAGGAGTGGATCTTATCGATGAAACAGCGATTACAAGCGTCGACATGAAGTCTGCGTGTGGTGTGCTCTCAAGACTCAACGCTCCGTCCATGACCCCAAAAATGATGAGACTGTTTTGGTATCAAATACATTCTACTATAATGAAATGTGCGTGAACTCAACTAAGATTGCTTCCACTGATAATCCAACTTATTGAACACATATAGAACGTCGTCAACGTTATACTTCCTGTAGTTTGCACAGCCGATTTTCTACTGAAAGCATAATGCAGTAAAATGAATTTTCTGCCAGTTATCGTTCATCCAAGATATTGGCATTCTAGCACTGAAAGAATAAAACAGAAATATATGTTTTTATAGAAGTCTACTTGTACCAACACGCTCATTACATATACAATATAATCAAGATTATTCATTTTGTTGATACATGTCGAAAAATGTCAGTTCTGAATACTTTGCCACGTCATTACTAGTAGTGTTTATGAGCAATCTTTATATTTTAGAGACTTCCCACCTTTTTTGTAAGCGAGAAGCAAATAAAGCACAAAAACATGCTTTATTCAATAAATAAAACTTATACACTTCTATACTTTGTCACTGTACTGAAGGATTCTGGGATAATGGCTGTTTTCAGCTCAGTCAATTACAAAGGTATATTTTGCTATTGTGTGTACTCTTTTAAATATCGCGGCTCAATGTTTTGGTCTCAGGGGTCTACGACAAAACCGGCACTATCTGCTAGAGGGGGATGACAAGATTGGTGTCATTTGTACGGCCGCGATGCGGCGTCATGGTGGTGCTGGACCGCGATGTGGCGTCATGATGATGCTTTGTAAAGGGCGGTAGCTTGCGCCACCTAGCCTAAGTCTAAAAAGACAATAACATGATCCCTCCCGCTTTTTTAAGACCAATTATCTCCCCCTAGCTATCCCTAGGCAGGGTGAGATATCACAAGGATAACCTTCAGCAAATCAAGCAAAAAAAAAAAAAAAAAACTACAAACACTATTTTTTTTTTCTTTTCCCCCCGGCGAGGGAGTCGCCAATTTTCCTCTGGTCAAACCATGTCGGCCTTACCCCAGCGCCGGACACTGGGAGACAGGGCTCAGACTTTGGGCCGGAGCCACGCAGGGGGAGTCCCAATTTTTCTCTGTCCTGCCTCTCCCCAGCTATGTTAGTTTGTTGTCCATCATTTAATTTTCCATAGGTAATTTCCACCAATCTCCTAACCGCCTCCTTGTCACTGTAATCCTTTTCTCTTCCGTCCTTCCATCGTTGCCACTAAAACCCAGGTCCCTGGCCAAGTCCGTTACCCCTCCAGAGAGGGCAGGGCGAAGCTCCGTGCACTTCGAAACTGAGCGCTCTAGTATATCGCTATCATTATGGCAGGCGGCACATGATGTGTCTGTCTCCTGAAATTTAGCCCAATACGTCCTCGTCCTCAAAACTCCCGTTCTCGCCTCGAACAGCAATGCACTTCCCAGTGAATTGTCAAACACTTTTTCCTTTCTTATTTTCTGCTTTCGTGACCTGCGCACTGTTAGAGCTGATTTCTCCTGCATTCTTTCCTCCCTCGTACATGTTCCTCTCTGCCTCTTTCACCCCCTTTTTCACTGAAGGAGTCTGTTCAGCCCCATACTAGTGTGTAGGTATTTAAATGTAAGCTTTCGGGTTCGGTTTGTCCATTTTGTGTTTAAACTTTTCATGTATAAATACTTGAATACCTTCCGTGCCCACCGCGTATCATACATTTCGGTCAACCTTTGTTACTAATTGCGTCCCTGCTCTCAAAAGACGACCACCCATGTCCCCCTGTACTCCCTTATTTAGTGTTTTTCCACGCGCTCCCAGTGCCAATCTGCCTACGCTCCTTTGTCGAATTTCTAATCTTGATTGAACCTCAGATTTTATGCACAGTACTGAGTTGCCAAAAGACAGTCCTGGTACCATCACTCCTTTCCATATACCTCTGACCCCTTCATATCTATTATAGTTCAATAGTGCCTTGGGTTTCATCTTAGAGGAATTTATTTTCCCTTTTCTAATTATATTCTCCTCGTGTTCCTCTAGATATTTCTTTCCCTCATTGAGCCGGAGTCCCAGATATTTGTATTTTCCTACACGCTCTATTACAATGTCTTGTATCCTCAGGGGCTCGCTCTTTGTATTGTTAAAACAATTAATCAAGACTTGTCACTACTAAAACTCATGCACGAGGTCCAGCTAGTTTATGTAATGTATCCTGGTTATCTGCCATGAGTACTATGTCATCTGCATACATCAGTTCTGGTAATACCTGTACTACCATTTCTTCCTCCTTCCATATAACTCACATCAAAACCTAAGTTGCACTGTTCTAATTTATCTTCCATCTTAATGAAATATATCATAAAGAGCAGAGGTGAAAACGGACAGCCCTGCCTGAGTCCTCTTTTTATTGGTGCGGGTTCTGTAGTTTGTGCTTCCGATGTTATAACCACCTTATTGTCTGTGCGTACACCTGCTGAAGAAACCTAACAAAATTGGTATCTAAATTGTACTCCTCAGCTGACCCCAAAGTATTTCCTGGCTCACATTATCGTATACTCCCTTGATGTCCAAATAAGCTGACCATAAAGAAGTTTGGTTCTTCACTGCCATTTATATGGAGTGAGTAGTGACGAATAAGTTATCTTCCTGTCTTCTATCTATTCGGAATTCATTTTGGAGCTCGCCCAGTATTTGCATATCTTCTGTACATTGCTCCCTTGTGCGCTTTACTATTTGCATAGCTGATTGTATAGAAAAGAAAGTTACTGTTATCGGGCGATATGACTTAAGGCTGTCTTTGCTTCCTTTCCCTTTATATATTAGTCTCATTTTACTTAGTTTCCAATCATTGGGTACCTCGTTTCCCGTAATTACTTGGTTAATCGTTCGCCGTAACTTAAATTTGCCTATTTTTCCTAGTGTCTTTATGAGTTCCATGGGTATCTTGTCTGGGCCTGTCGCTGTACCTGATGGAACCTTACATTCTGCCTTTTACCATTTTTTGTAGTCGTCTCCATCATTACACAATTCTGTTCCTCCTCAACACTGCTGCAGACCGTGCTATTCACTGTCTCCCCCTGCTCAAACTGGTAAAAAGCCTCTTCGATTGTCTGCCTAATATATTCACGTGCCTCTTCCCCTTCTACTCCTCTCCCCTCCTTTGTGGTCAGCAAGTGTTAGATACACTCGGTTCTTCTCTCCTGCGCTTTAATGTGCTCCCAAAACCTTTTTGCCGCCTTCCCTTTTTTTTAATTACTTCCATCATCCACCGCACTCCTGCACTTCCAACTTTGGCCTCTATTAAAGATGATGCTTCCTTTCTTTCGCTTTGAGAAGTTCTCTTATTTTGATGTTTCTTCAGCTGGCAAGGCTTGCCTTTTTTTGGCCAACCTATGCTCCCTAGATGCAGCTTGGCGCCGCAATATGGCTGCTTTGACCTCCTTTTTTCACCAGCTTTTTGGTTTGTGTCTTCGTTTTTGCTTTTTCTTTGCTTAATTCGATGCTTCTCTAATTCTTTTTTCAAGATTCCTATTAAATCCTCATACGTCCATCCACCTTCTTGTTGTTTCGATACTATGTTCTCAATCAATGCTTGTCGATATTTTTTTGTATTTGAGCTTCACTTAGTTTAGGTTTACCCGCTCCTTCTTGGGCTTGCTGTTCTGGTTTGGTTGTGCCAAATTTAATCTTAAGTCGTTTGTGGTCACTCCCTAAGCTTTTTGTTCTTTAATCTTATAGAGCGCAGCTCTTAGGAGCCCGTTTCCAGCCTGAGCGGCGTCGGCGTCGCCGTCGGCGTCGGCGTCGGCGTAACCGGGGGGGAGTCACGTGACCCCCCCCCGAGGTCACGCGACCCCCCCGAGGCCACGTGAGCCCCCCCCCCGCGAGGTCACGTGACCCCCCCCCCCCCCCCGAGGTCACGTGACCCCCCCCCCCCCCCCGAGATCACGTGACCCCCCCCCCCCCGAGGTCAGGTGACCCCCCCCCCCCCCGAGATCACGTGACCCCCCCCCCCCCCCTCCGAGGTCACGTGACTACCCGCGGGTGACGTGTACCCCCTCAGTACCCTTCCCTACCTCCTCAAGAGCTGCGCTCCGATTCGGCGTTACAGGGATTTGTAAACGGCTTTCATTTTTTTCATACTTCCTAACCTGTAATGCAGTTTGTGGGACATGAGGCAGTAGTGTACTGTTGAGGGTGAGTTGTTTCGTTCCCACATTATTTTGCCGTCGCATTTTACTTGCAAGTGCATTAACTAACACTAGGTCCATGGCATCACAGAAATCTTCTAGCAGCTTTCCGGTTGTATCTGTGAATCCGTCAGACTCTTCTAAGCGAGCATTCATGTCTCATATAAAAATTATTTCTTGATTAAGACCAATTTCTTTGATATCGCTCGATATACATTTAAAGTGTTCTGTATTTTCCTCCCATGAGTCATTTTCTGTTTTCAGGTATGCAAACCCCAGAAAAGTGTTTAGACCTGTACCCTACCTTTCAGCCATACATGTTCTCTGCAGCTTTCCTTCTCTCTTTCCCAGCCTTGTCCTTTAACAAATATGCCTAGAACTCCGCCTTTGCCTTCACCTCCCCTCCCGTTGCATCCCATGCAGGAGTAGCCTGGTGTTGTGTACAATGGTTCCTCCTCATCTCTAAGATGCATTTCTGCAACCCCATACACTAAAAACTTCAAGCTTTAATTGTTCACCAATCTCCTCACACTTTATTTTGTCTCTACCTCCCTGCATGTTTATGAACCCTATATTGAGCCGATTTTTTTCTCTTACTTCTACGGGGCTTTCCTCTGTTCTCCCTGCTGCTCTTGCGGTAGTCGCACCCAGGAGCTTTCCCTGACTCTGGTACCAGTACATATGGTACTGGTACATCTACACCTGTGCCCTCCAGGCTCTGCGAGTCCCCCAAAAGCTGCAACATGCTGACCCCGTGTAAAAGGGCAGGAGCCAGCCGCATAAACTTCCCGGTTTATCCCTTTTACGCCGAACTCAAGCCGTCGGCTCATCTCCTTAATCACCCGGTTAGCCTCCCCAGGCAGCTCACAATATTTGAGCGATATTCGCCTCGGGTCGGGAAAGTCCTGCGAGTATTGCCGATTTTTCCGTTGTATCGGGA